ATGTAGGACATGCTGGCTTCACCCACTCTTTTTGCCACAATTGTAAGTTTCCTGAGGTCTCCCCAGCCATGCTTCCTGTACAGCCTGCAGAACTGTGAGCCAATTAAACCTCTTTTCTTTATAAATTACCCAGCCTCAGGTAGTTCTCTGTAGCAATGTGAAAACAGACCTATACAGCTGCATTTAAAATATTAGGCTGATCTCTGCTGTGCAATAACTTGAAATATAAGCTCCAGCACTATCAACAGAAAACTGCTCTTTCATATGAGCCTATTGCTGTTAAATGTAAAGGGTTATCTTATTAAGTGTGATAAGACTCACTAAGACCACTAAAAGAAACAACCCTTCCTCAGAGATTAATTGCTAACATATTTATATACAATACTCAGAAGTACTATCAAGGTACTCTAAGAGAGTAGGCATCCACGTGTCTTTTTAAACTGACCCAACAAATATCTACGAACATATGCTGTGTCACAAGCCCTTTGCCTTATTACACAGTGATATTCTAGACAGACTCTTGAGATGGTCTCAGTGATTTCTACCCTGTTGTGATCCCTCCTGCTTGTGTGAAGGCAAGACCTTGACTTGCTTCCAAAAAATAGAATATGGCAAAGGTGATTGGATATATGTGGTTATCTGTACATGATTGTGTGCATATATTACATATGATTATAGTCATGTGCTGTATAACAACATGTAGGTCAGTGATGGACTGCATATACTTCAGTGGCCCCATAAGATTATAACACCATACTTTTACTGTACCTTTTCTATGTTTAGCTACACAAATACCATTGTGTTAAAATTGCCTACAGTATTCAGTACAGTAACATGCTGCACAGGTTTGTAGCCTGGAAGCAATAGGCTATATCAGGGATCCCCAACTCCCCCAGTACTGGTCTGTGGCCTGTTAGGAAATGGGCCGCACATCAGGAGGTAAGTGGCAGGTGAGCAAGCAAAGCTTCATCTGTATTGATAGCCACTCCTCATTGCTCACATTACCACCTGAGCTCCACCTCCTGTCAGATAAGTGACAGCATTAGATTATCATAGGAATGCAAACCCTATTGTGAACTGCACATGCAAGGGATCTAGGTTGTGTGCTCTTTATGAGAATCTAATGCCTGATGATCTGTCACTGTCTCCCATCACCCCCACATGGGACCATCTAGTTACAGTAAAACAAGCTCAGAGGTCACACTGATTCTACATCATGGTGAGTTGTATAATTATTTCATTATATATTATAATGTAATAATAATAGAAATAAAGTGTACAATAAGTGCAATGTGCTTGAATCATCCTGAAACCATCCCCCAACCCCAGTCCATGGAAAAATTGTCTTCCACAAAACCAGTCCCTAGTGACAAAATGGTTGGGGGCTGCTGGGTTATAATATATAGTCTAGGTTTGTGTAAGTACATTTAGTGATGTTTGCACAATTATAAAATTTCCTACCAATGCATTTCTCAGAACTTGTCCATGACTGTAGTGCCCATCCTGCTGAAGTCGTCCTCCCTTGCTGGCTTTGAGGAAGCTAGCTGCCATGTCGAGGAACCCCATGTGGCACAAAACTACAGGTGGTTTCCAGAAGCTGGGAACAGACTCTAGCCAACATCCTAGGAAGGTCTCCAGCCAGCACCCGGCAATAAAGAGAACCCCTCACTTCTATGACTGCAAGGAACCGAATTCTGCCAGCAGTCTGAATGAGCTTGGAAGTGGATACTTCTTTCTGTTGAGTCTCAATTGAGACTGAAGCTCTGGCTGACACCTTGATTGTGAGACTCCACCTAAGTCAAGCCTGGACTCCTGATTCACAGAAACTGGTAGACAATGAATGTATACTGCTTTACACCACTAAGATTCTGGTAAGGTTAAACAGCAATAAATAACTAATACACAGTTTCTCAGTCTCTCTTTTTCTTTCTTGTCCTTAAAATTTTTGATGCATACAGGCCAGCTACTTTATAGAAAGCTCCTCAGCATGAATGATGTTTCCTTATGATTAGATTCGGATTTTACACTTTGGGGAGGAATAACACAGACACAGAAATGATGTTGCATCCTTCTCAGTACATTCTACTAAAAGTAGTTTTGGTTTCTTCTAGTATTAAGTGATATTACATCTACTGCTTGGTTAGGGTGGTACCCACAAGGTTTCCTCATTGTAAAGCTGCTACTTTCCCATGGTAACTAATAAGTAACTTGTGAGGAGATGAATAACTTGTAAACTTTAAGATCATGTAAATATCCCATTCATCAAACTCTCATCTATTATTTTTGGCATCTATTAATGATTTTCTAAACTATGTGAGTCCTTTTATACATATTAGTGGGCATTTTACTCTAAGGAGTATTTCACTCTCTCTTATTTACTTATCTATTTACTTATTTATATCAGTATAGAAACATAGTTTTTTTTATTTTAGTCAGTAGTTTATAATTTGTTACCATTTTTGATGCTCAGATTGTTTCAGATTTGTTCACTGTGAATATTTTATCAAGACACATTATCTATCTTTCTGATATGTTTCCATCATTCTTTAAAGCTTTCTTATTTTCTGGCAAAACAAGATTTTCCAGGCATATCTTATACTTTCTCTGCCTCCAGACCTGGAATCTTTATTCTAAACATTCCTGGTTTCTTTTAGTGGAGACTGATACTTAGAAACCAAATTTGGGTACAAAGTGCACTCACTGCTACTGGAATGTTATTGCTTCTAGTACTCCCTGAAGACAGAATCTACATAGATGCAAATTTGAAAAAAATATTTGCAAGACATTTACTGTAAAAACAACAATAAAAAAAATGAATAAATAGATAGATATACTATGTCCATGGATTGTAGAACTCAATATTATTAAGACATCAATTATTAAGATGTCTTCTGCTTAGGTTCTCACAAGGCTGCGATTAAGGTACTGTCTGGGACTGTGGTCTCATCTGAGTCACTCAGTTTGTTGGCAGAATTCAATTCCTTGTGGTTCACAAGATTGAGGAATTCATTTTCTTCCTGCCTGGAACTCATGGTAGGCTATCAGCTGGAGGCCATCCACAGCTCTTACAAACTGCCTGTATTTCCTTGTCATGTGGATTTTCCCCACATGATGTATGTATTAAAATTTCAACTAAATTAAAAATATTAACCTCCAATTTCATTTTAACATCACAATGTAACTTTTAGTCTTTCCCCTTTCCATATATGTTATTCTCTTCTCCAACAATGAGAAACCTGGATCTCATTACATTTGCTCACTTTTCTCAAGCCTAGAATATAAAGAAAGTAGTTTCAGAATTTTTAACTCATACCCCTATAAAAGCAACCCTACTAACTAGTTTCCATATTTTTAACAGATTTTTTTGGTAAAATATTACACAATGATTTCATCTATGCACAATTTGGTAACTTTTGAAAAAAAGCACATACTCAACCCACACCACTATTTAAGACACAGAACATTACTATCACCCAATAATGTTCCCTCATGCCTCTTCTCAACTTCTCTGCCAGAGGAAACCACTTTTCTAATTATTTTCATTGTAGATTAGCTTTATCTGTCCTAGAGCTTCATGTAAATTGAATCAATCATATACATTATTTTGTGTATATAGTATAATGTTTATAACATTCATCCACATTCTTAAATATATCAATATTTCATTCCTTTCTATTGCTGAGTTGTATTCTATTTAATCACTATATTAGAATTTATCCATTCTCCTGATGAGATAATTGGAGTTTTGGAACTTTTGGTTATTAAAGGTAAAGCCACTTTGAACATTTTTATATAATTTATCTTCAGATACAAGTTTTTGGGTAATTATATTTTGGGTAAATATCTAGAAGTGGAATTAATGGAAGAAAGGGCTTATGCTTAACTTTATAAGAAAAGGCAAAACCTTTTTCAAAAGCGGTTATATCATTTTAACTTCCTACCAGCAATGTATGAGAGTTCTGACTGCTACATATCCAACACCAAACATCATGTGGCATTAGCAGTCTTTTTAATTTTGACCATTCTAGAGGGTGGAGGCAGATCTCACGGTGGTTTAATTTGCATTTCCCTGAAGACTTAGGTGTTCAGTATTTTTACATGTGCTTAGTGAACTTTCACATGTCTTACTTTATTAAGTGTCTGCTTAAGTCTTTTGCCAGTTTTTCCTCTATTGAGACATTTATCTTTTTATTATTAAGCTGTGGAGTTCTTTATGTATTCTGGATACAAGTCTTTGTTAGATATATGTTTTGCAGATATTTTCTTCTAGTCTGTGGATTTTTCTTGTGTTCGTAGTGTCTTTCAAAGAGTAAAGGATTTTAGTAAAATCTAGATGTTGTTGTTGTTTCTGTACCGTTAATTGATTTCTGTGTCTTCCTAAGAAATCCCTGCTGCTCCCAAGTTGTGAAGATATTCTCCTATGTCACCTCCTAGAAATCACATTCAGTTTTTAGATCTATGTTTCATTCCTAATCAATGTTTATATATAATATAAAATAGTGGTTGAGGATACTATTTTTCCATATAAAGATCCAGTTGTTAAAGCATTATTTATTGAAGAAAAACTTTACTTTTGTACAAATGAATAACTGGTACCTTTGTTGAAAATCAACTAGTTGTGTAAATGATATTTCTAAACTATTTATTCTATCTATGGTTCTGTTTGACTAACCTTATGCAAATGCCACACTGCCTTGATTATTATAGCTTTATGGTAAATCTTAAGAGCTAGGTAGCATGAGTTCTCTAGTTTTATTCTTTTTCAAGATTGTTTTGCCTTCTGTATCTCTTGCATTTCCATAGAAAATTTGTTATCTGATTTTCACTCTCCATGAAAATGTCTGCTGAAATACGATTGGGATCATATCGCTCAGTTTGGATAGAATAAACATCATGATAATACCAAGTCCACCATTCAATGAACATATCTGTCCATTTATTTAGGTCTTTTTACATTTCTCCCAGCAATGTTTTATAACTTTTACTGTATATTTCTGACACATATTTTGCCAAATTTATCCCTATTTAATTTTTTTTACACTATTACAAATGATACTGTTTTCTGATTGTTCACTGCTAGTTGTATTAGTTTGTTAGTGTTACCATAACAAAGTACCACACACTGGGTGGCTTAAATAACAGAAATTGATCTTGTCACTGTGCTGGGGACTAGAAGTCCAAGATCAAGGTGCCAGCAGGTTGGATTCCTTTGAGGTGTCTCTCCTTGGTTTGCAAATGGCCATCCTCTTGCTGCTTCTTCACATGGCTATCCCTCTATGGGAGAGTATCACTGGTGTCACATTTTTGTGTGTGCAAATTCCCTCTTCTTATAGGAGCACCAGTCAGATTGGATTAGGGACCACTCACATGACCTCATCTAATCTTGATTGCATCTTTAAAGGCCCTATCTCATTCTGTGGTACTAGGGGTTAGGGCTTCAACATACGAATCTGGGGAAACAAATCAACCCATAAGACTGGTATACAGAAATACAATTGATTTTGGTATACTGACCACTTATGCTGCAACCTTGCTGAACCATCTCTTAATTCTTGTAGTTGCTTTGTACATTCCTTTGGGTATTCTTCATAGATACTCATGTCTGCAAATGGAGAATGTTTATTTTTAAATATTGATGCCTTATATTTCTTTTTTGTGTTTTTGCTTTGTTGCATTTGTTTTTGGTTATTTTTGCTTTTTCTGTTTGTATGACCAAAATCTTTAGCAGTATAGGTAGGCAACAGCCAAATAATGTAGAACCCTATAAGCCATGTTATACAGTTTGAGTTTTATTTTAGCACAATGGGAATACATTGAAGGTCTTTAGGTTAAGTTGTTGCTCGTGAGCCACAAATGAGCAAAGATATATATAGATATATGTATATGTATATTTACGTATATACACATATATATAATTGATTATATATATATATATATATATATGTCTTTGTCCATTTGTGTTGCAATAACAAAATACCACAGTCTGGGTAGTTTATAAAAAATAAATACATATATACACACACACATATATATCATACATATACACACATATATACATCGTTGCTCATTTGTTTGTTATAAATAGCATTAACAGCATTTTTCAGGTTATTTCCTGGGAGTGTTTATGATTTACGTATTCTTCAACTCATTCCATAACAATATTTGAGGTGCTTAGAACAATTCATACCAAGTTAAAACAAAATAATTGAGCAAATTGGGATAAAGAATAAAATGAAGTTGAAAAACAAGAGGCCCGGGTAATGTCAGTTCAAAATATGCTTACCTTTAACTGCTTTAAATTTACAGGAGGTATAGTTACACATTTTGGCTGAATTTCCCAGAGACTAGAACTGTTTGAGACACTTCTGCTCCCCAATCCCTTGTGATATGTTCCTCAGGTAATAGGCCTTCACAGTCACTCCCAACCTATCATATATACCACACAGACTTGAGATTCACTATTGAGAGAATCTATGTACTGTTTTTCGTTTCTTTTCTTTTTTGTTATAGAGCCGAGGGTCTCACACTGTCCCTGAGGCTGAAGTACAATGGCACGGTCATGGCTCACTGCAGCCTTGACCTCCTGGGCTCAATCCTCTTGCCTCAGCCTCTCGAATAACTAGGATTACAGGTGTGTTCCCCCATGCCTGGCTAGTTTTTTAAAATTTTTTGTAGAGACAGGGTCATGCTATGTAACCCAGGCTGGTTCGAACTCCTGAGCTCAAGTGATCCTCCTACCTCGCCCTCCCAAAGTTCTGAGATTACAGGCATGAGCCACTGTGCCCAGCCTATGGATTGTTTTTCTTGAAGCAATTTTTCAGAAACCTTCCTGGTTTCTGATAATTTAACCTTTTCAGGTTATGAGAGAAAAATGAACATTTTGATATTACCCACTGTCTTAGTCCATTTGTGTTGCTATAATAAAATACCACAGACTGGGATATTTATAAACAGTAGAAATTAATTTCTCTCAGTTCTGGAGGCTGGAAACTCCAAAATCAAAGTGCCAGCAGATTTGGCATCTGGTGACGGCTTCCAAAATGGCACCTTGCTGCTGCATCCTTTGCAGGGGTCGGTGCTGTGTCTTCACATAGTGGAAAGAACAGAAGGGGCCAAGTGGCTCCTTTGAGTCTTTTTTAAAAAGGCACTAATGCATTCACAAAGCAGAGCCCTAATGGTCTAAACACCACATAAAGACACCTCCTCTTAATACTGTTGAATTAGGGATTAAGTTTCAACAACAGTTTTGGAGGGAACACAAACATTGAAATGATTATATATGTGTTTATTTAATCAAGTATCCAACAAAAGCAAATAATTCAAGCCCCCAATTCACTGCATCTTTAGTAGATAAGCAGAGTTTTAAATTACAATTGACCTCCAGTTAGGAGGAATGCATGGATTTCCACAAGAAAAAACAATACTGAGGAGAAACTCTCCACAGTAATGTGCCACTTTTCAGTCAACGACAGACCGCATATATGAGTCCCATAAGATAACACTGTATTTTTACTGTGCCTTTTCTATGTTTAGATATGTTTAGATACACAAATATCATTGCATTACAATAGCCTACAGTATTCAGTACAGTCATATGCTGTATAGATTTGTGGTCTAGGAGCAATAGGTTCACCACATAGCCTAGGTGTGTAGTAGGCTGAGCCATCTATTTTGTGTTAGTACACTGTGATGTTTAGACGAGGACAAAATTGCCTACGGATGCATTTCTCAGAATGTGTCCTGTTGTTCAGTGACGCATGACTGTATTCCATGAGCACTATAGTCACTATCACAGTAACACATTAGGAGAGAAATCTCATTTTTAAATCCAATATAATTTATCACACATTAGTTCACTCTACTGCTTTGGTTGATTTTCTTTGGTTGTGGTTACCCGCGTACAGCAGTGAAGTTTCAGAAAAACTGAAGTTGCAAAAGGTCAATTACTCAATGAAGGAAAGATAAACCATTGCATTGGGGGACTAGAAGATACTTTTAAAAGTTCTCAGATTATCAATTTAATGATGTGTTTCTATGTAGTGAATAATGCCTTACATTCTTGCCAAGAGTATTTTGAAGGGAGTTTGTTAAAAGTATATCAGCTAACTAATTTTTTTTTGTATATCAGTGCTAATGATGTGTCATTCACACATTGTGCAATCCATAATTCCAGATTTAATTCTACCAAAAAATATAGGTCATTGCAAAATGCCATATTAAAACTGCAAATGCATGACAGGAAGACCAGGATGTAAACAAAGCGAAGGATGACACCAACTCTTTTTTTAAAGAAGCAAGATAGGGATTCGACAAAAAAGCTGAGCCATTTTAAATGGATACTTTTGAGGGAGTGTTAATTCCAATTTAATTAAAATGACGCATTAATTTAAAAATTGGGCTAACTGGTTGCCCTCGACAGCACCCAGGTGCTCTCGGATTGCGCCAGTGCTCTCGGATTAACCTAATTGTACAGAGGTGCCCTTGTTTTCTAACTTCATGCACAAAGCACTGGAAATTATTTGTTCGCTTTTTCTTTTCCAAGAAAATCTTTTTCCAGTTATGCAAAAGGAAAATTTGAGGCAATGGTTAAAGGCACTTAAGTTATAGTTATTGCTGTTACCACTAACTTTAAGCACGGGTACGCCTTTGTTGCAAGTTACCCACCTACACCTGCAAATCTGTCTTGCTAGCACACGCCCCAGCACTCTCCACCCGGTGGTCCGTGGCTGGAGCGCTTTAAGTCACTGTGCGGGCTGGGCTCCTAAGGAGGTCGGTCCCGCTCCTCGAAGACCCAAGCGTAGGGCTAGGAAAAAGCTAGGCGGGAAGGTCATTGTACCCCCAGGCCCCAGGAAAAGGACCCAGGGTCTAACCATCTCTTACTTTCGGGCAAAACTTCTCACATCGCGACCTTCCCTCCCTGGAGCACTCTGAGAACACACCCAGTCACCTAGCGCGCTCCCCAGAAGCCGGCTCGGCACACAGCGCACCCCAGCGGCCGCGTGGCCTCCTTCCAGCCGCGGCCACTTGGCTTCCGGAGAGCTCGCCGGGCGCAGCCGCCGCCTCCCTGGAACCAGGGGACTCAAGAGCCTGCGAGAGCCGAACACTCGCGGACCCCAGGGAGGGGAGCGGCAGCTGCGCCTGGCCCCGCCCACCACACCTGGGCGCCCAGAGGACCGCGCGGGGCGGGGCGGGGCAAGAGGCTGGCCTGGCGCTCCTGCCGCTTTGCCAAAAGCCGGCCCGACTGGAGCTGGACGAAGGGGGAGGGTCTCTAGGCCGAGTCCTGTTCTTCCTAGGGAGGGACCCCAGCTGGGGTGGAAAAGCAGTACCAGAGAGCCACCGAGGCGCTCGGTGCCAACCATGGAGCGGGCCGGCCCCAGCTTCGGGCGGCAGCGACAGCAGCGGCAGCCCCAGCAGCAGAAGCAGCAGCAGAGGGATCAGGACTCGGTCGAAGCATGGCTGGACGATCACTGGGACTTTACCTTCTCTTACTTTGTTAGAAAAGCCACCAGGTAAGAAGAGGACCCACGGAAGACCCGGCCGGGTCATGGAGTGTGACCCGGGGCTGATTTCTCTCTCCTATTGAATTGTGCCCTTCGTTCACCCCTGTTCCCAGGCCCTTTGCTTTTGGAGTAGGTCCTCGGTCCTGTTACGAGGTAGAAACCTCAACTCTAAGCGAGCAGAGTCGAAAAACTCAAGCGTCGAATTTGATACAACTTGCTCACAAAGTTCAAATACAAAAATGTACTTGCCGACCTCCCACCCTCACCCCCGCCCTTCTTGGTATTCCACGGGAACATGATTATTTTCATACATCCGTGCTCACGGGCCTTCCCCTAGCCCCTCTCTAGCTCCCTGGTTCCCCTAAATCCAATCAGCAAAACCCAAACAGTTTCTGAGCCCCTTCCCAGCAGCTCCGGAAGCACCATTTCCAAGTCAGTCTTGGTGGCTCCGCTCCTCCCACGTCCCCCCTTGCCCTGGCCCTGGCTGGGCGGGGAAGCTGGGGTTAGGGACGAGACCAGGGGGAAGCCCAAAGGCAACATGACGGAACCTTCCCAAAGTGAGTGCGGTCGCCTGTTCCCCCCTTCCAGTTCCCTGCTTCTCCCGCGCACCTCCTTTCACTCGCTTTTCCGCCGATGGCTGCGCCGCCAAAAGTAGAGATCTGCAGAGGAGTTTGCTGCGTGCACACAAAGGGCGAGGGGGAGGCGCCGCCCGGAGCGGACCCCAAGGGGCAGCGGAGACCCCAGAGGCCAGCTCTTTCTGGTCCAGAGCCAAGCGCCGCGGCGGCCCTTGCGGTGGGCGGGGAGGAGGGAGCCTGTCCTTTTGGAGGCGGCTGCGCAGCGAGCAGTCAGGGCGCTCGTGGGAAACGCTCGCGGGAGAATTGGGGAGGAATTGAGACTGGGAGTAGAGGGAGAAGAAGAATGGAGCAGAAAGTGCTTGGCGGGCGGGTTCCCCGAAGTCTGAGGAGTTGATGGATAGCCGGGGTGCGCGGACTCCAGGACGTGCGCCTTTGCAGAAGGAGTCCGTGCCCAGCTGCCGCCTGCTCTGGGCAGCGCCCGTCGGGCAGCGGGTGCTGGCCGCCTTGGCCGGGAGGGTGACACACGCCCGGCGGTGATGTTCGAGGAGCTCGCCCGGGTTCGACACCCGGGTCCCACCCGCCGGCGCGCGGCCGCGGCTCTGCCGGTCGCTCCCCGCCAGGGGGCGGCGCAGCGCGGGGCGAGCGGGAGGCGACGGGCGGCGGCGCGGAGGCCGGGGCCGTGAGGGAGCTGGCTCCGAGTCGCCGACCTCACCTCACCTCACCTGGGCACGCTGTTGCCCCTACGGAGCCTCCTGGAGTCCAGGATCGGCGGAGTTCGAAAACGAACTTACCACGTTTGCTATGTTGCCCTTTGGAGACAAAACGAGGTACTTCCTTCAGCATCCCCTTATCCCCCTTCCCACTTTTTCCGGGGGCGCGGCGGGTCTCGGGTGCTGGGTAGTGGCGCCCCGGTGGCACCAGTGGGACGATGTATCATTGAAAATGGACTGTATAACTTTTGTTGTTGTTGTTATTCTTTGCTCTCTTGCAGATGTATTAATGAGGGTCTTAAATTGGGCCCTTTTAAATCTTTTTTTTTTTTTCTCCTAAGGAACGTCCAGAGTTGGTGTCAATTTAATCACTTTCAGGGCCTTTTTTTTTTTTTTTTTTTTTGACAGAGTGGAAGGCTCTGGGATTAATCTTTTCTCTGTAGTAATCCAGCCCTTCTTTTAAAATCGTCTTCCCCCGCTTTCAGCTTCTTCCTTCAAAACCCTAAATCTTGAGCGCCCAGAGTATGGCCCTGAAAGTGGTTTCTTTTTCAAGGGCACTTGTTTGCGAGTTTAGGGTGAGCCACTAAGGTCATGGAGGTCTAGAATGATCAGTTACTGTGGACCAACAGTTTTCAGGGGTCATCTGCTCCTCTGAGGCCATCTGCACCCACTTTCCTTTCACTCTGCGCATTCCCAGCCTTCTGCTCTCCTTAAATTACAGCGCATAGAATGATCAGCGGGCCAGAGAACCCGGCACATTTTTAAAAGTGTGTATTGGACCTGTTCTTTAGGCAGATTATAAAAAGTTTAAAGAAAAAAAGTTATTGTGTAATAAATCAGCATAAATGTCCTTTCTTCGTTCCCTATTTTTCTTTTAAAGATGTAAACTAGGGATGGCTTGTTGGTCGTTTTTGACTAGTCATAGATAAGAACACTACATTTTCAGAATCTACCAACACTTTGAAAGTGTAGCAACATTTTATTGGAAAATAAATGGAAAGAGCTGAGTTACATTTCTTTTCCCATTACTTTTTCTCCCAAGCAGCATAGGATCAAAATCCTATTTCTCAAAATTACCATGCTCACTGTAAAATTTAGATCATCTGAGACTCTAAAAAAACTTTTTAAAAAATTTCGGTTAGGGTTTTTAAATTACAGTTGATGTTGGCAGTAGGCTGGACACTTTCTGTGGTATATGTATGTGTGTGTATACATATTCTTAAGAGTTTATGTCGAGTGTAAGTTGGAAAATGAAAGTGTAAAATATTTAATAGTGCAGGTCCTCCATTTTAAGAGTTATAATAAAGTGCTGAGAGTCATCAGAGTAAAGAATATAACCTAAGAATTTGTGTGTAGCCGGAGGTCTTTCATGAAACAATATTCCAATTTGGTTTTATATTTGGTGGCATTAGCAGGAGACTTAAAATGTGAATAAGAGGATGGACATTTGTTGATTATGAAAATGCAAACCACTAACCCCAGTGTGGTTCACATTATTGTGGTAAAAACTTATTGCATACGTTTTAACTTTATAGCTCAGGATTTTTTTTTTTTTAAAGTAGAAGCTTACATTACTTTGCTTTTCCCCTCTTTTTACACTTTGTAAGTGTAAAATGAATATTGTATGTGATTCAAGAAACCCATGAAACAAAATAGTTCTGTAGATGTATGTGGCATGTTTTAAACTTTAAAATATATTTATATTCACCCAGATTGTCCATCTACACCAGTAATCAGGCTTGCTGACATAAACAATTTCTGCATTATTTAACTGTTATCATTGGACATTCATGCATGATTTTCCATCCTTTTCTCAGACTAAATGATGTACATTCAATGGTAGTTATTGAACATCAAGGTTCTGGCATTCCCAGATTCTCAAACACCTGTGAATTTGGGTCGACCTTGAAAGCATTTATGCTATTATATTACATTGTTTACTAACACTGTCTTCAAGTAGAGCGCTATGCACCTCATTAAAAGCTATAGGTAGGGCCTGGCACGGTGACTCATGCCTGTAATCCCAGCACTTTGGGAGGCCGAGGCAGGCAGATAACGAGCTCAGGAGTTCGAGACCAGCCTGACTGACCAACATGGTGAAACCCCATCTCTACTAAAAATACAAAAATTAGCCAGGCATGGCGCGTGCCTGTAATCCCAGTTACTCAGGAGAATTGCTTGAACCCAGGAGGCAGAGGTTGCAGTGAGCCGAGATCGCACCACTACACTCCAGCGTGGGCAACAGAGTGAGACTCCATCTCAAAAAAAAAAAAAAAAAGCTATAGCTTGGAGCTTTTTAGTTATCACAACCTGTTTGTGTCCATTTGAAGGTGTCAATTGAATGATTGAGAACATAGTCTGTTGGCATAAACATTAATTTGAGACCAATAAATCACATCTGGAAAACTCCCAGGGCACTATTCTAGACAATTTGCAGTCCTAAAGGCCTCAGCTACTGTGTTAATTGAGGGCTTTAATGCTTATGCCTTTACAACTGAAGCTTTCCTGGTGCTAATGCGGCTTAACAGCTGTTGTTATTCTTGACAGCATATTAGAATAAAGTTACCTTTCATTAATTACTAATCAGCTCTGTGATTGTGGGTGATGTTTTAGGTCATTTAATATTGTAAGGATGACATGATTGACTTTATTGCTTTGTTTTGTACCAGGCAAAAGCTTGAGAATATCTGGCATATACTGGAAATAAGAGATATTAAGTGAGGGCAAGTTTTTATGACAGCTTGGATCAAAGTCCAGAAAGTTTTACACTCCCATATAGCTTTCTATGATAGACTTTATTTGACACTGCAAAGCTGTGCTGAATTAATTGAGGTTCCTGGTCCTGTGTTTGGAATTCTGTCTTTCATTTTTTTTCCTTGTAATTCTTCTCTCACTTCTAAAAGCTGTAGCATTTTTATTTGCACGGTATTTACAATACAATCAGATTATATATATAAATGTTGCTATGCATTTTTAAAAATTATTGTTTCTAAAATTATACAGGAATATAAACTTTTCACAGTTTTCAGACAAATGAATTGTTAAGCATATTTGGTGAGGCAGTTGTTAGTGTTGATGATAATAAAACCCTCTGGGCATTGACCCAATCTAACTTTGATATTGTTTATAGTATTTTTATAATGGTAATTCTGGTGCAATAATGCCCTTTTTTTTC